GTCAAGGTCTTGTTAGTTTTATCAATCACGATCACTATAACTAATTCAGGCCGTATGCATGGGTGGGTATTTCAAGGCCTGTCAGATGTGAGGGGAAGGTGTTTGTCGTTAGCAACAGATTATTGAGACAAATGGCGAGTAATCATCTCAAGTAAGTTATGGCTCGTAAAATGCATTCCTGCCCAGCCCCATTCAGTGATTAATTCTCTTCTTTCCTTACACATCTCTTCTTGGCACAAAACCCAGGCATAATTCCTCCACTGAAAGGTCAGTGAGACAATCTTTTCAAAGTCTCTGCTTCCAAATTGGATGTAAATAGGAAACGGGGAGATGGGGGGGGATATGTCTATCCTGAAATTGGTCTTCACCCACCCCCTCAACCTGTGTCCTCTTGCCTATGATTACAAATAGTTACACCACTCCTACTCTTGGGTTCCCCCAAGCCTTTGGCTCTCGCCTAAACCTGCGCCTAATGCTCTCTGGAATTAGGCAAGCAGGGTGTATCCCTCTGGGAGGGAGTATGCATTCATTCTATTGCAGACACGACACATGCAACTCTCAGTCCGATTTGGATGCTCTTAAGAATAGGGATGGGTTTGGTTTCTGCAAGTGTCAGACATCTGTCTACCCACAAAATATACAGTCAATTCAGTTTTTACGGTATATTCTGTGAAGCGCTTTGAGACGTCTCGAAGACGCGATAAGTCGCTGTATCAAATGCAAGGATTATTAGCATCCGGCTGACCNAAAAAAACACATCCCACCTAATCTTCTCTCCTGTACCACTCCATTCCTTATTGTCTCCGTTCACTTTCTCATTTACCCTCTGTACATTGAGACCGTTTACTCTGAAATCTCTGGATGGTGAATGAGTGGGTAGTTACATATAACGGGAGCCAATTATTAGGTCTGCTGCGTATGTGACCCAAGGTATTTAATAGACCTGCATCAGGATGAACAATATCACAAAGAAGTCAGTAACTTGGGCTGAACGACAGCTACTTTTCACGTAACAAAAAAATCTATAGACGTTTGTTTTTTTGGAAAAAAAAGTGTGTCAAAGGGGAACTTTGTATTAATCCCCAACCCCACAACAATAACATCTGTCACATGCATTTCCTTCTATATTGATATTTGCTCTGAAAAGTTTTTTTTGAAAAAAAACTGCACAATAATAATAATCCTTGCATTCGATTTGGCCCCTTATCACGTCTTCGAGCCGTCTCAAAGCGCTTCACAGAATAAACTGTAAAGTGAATTGACAGTTTATTTTGTGGGAAAAATATTCTGGGACGTTTTGCAAGTGACCCAAAGGAGCAGGACAGAAAGGTATTAAGAGCATTAAGAGCTTTGTAAATTCAGGAGCTACTTATATATAAAAAAAAGTACAACTAGACTGCAGTATGGCAATAATCAGCGGTGCGATAAGACGTGTACCTCCGTTCAGGAGACTGACCAAATCCCACTCGAAGCCTCACATGTGAACTATGCAATCAGCTGTACTGTGCCAGCTCTTAATCTCACTGCCAATCAGGCCTCGGGTCACAACCATTTATTTAAACTAATAACACATTCTTATCTTAATGCGCATTAGCGGAGTCCTGCAGAAAATTTAGTTGGGAGCACTCGCCTCGCAAGCGAGAGGACCCGGGTTTGTTTCCCGGGCAGGATGAAACTTTAGGCAAGTTTCCTCACTCCGCACGCCTCCAGCTGTAAGTAGGAAGTTGATAGTTAGTGGATTGGCGGAATGCATTCTTGGGATAATAATTTGGTCCCTCGATCCACAATTTTTTGTGGCTCATTGCTGTGCCTACAAAATATAGTCAATTCACTTTATAGTATATTCTGTGAAGCTGTTTGAGACGTCTCGATAACACGATAAGGGACTATATTAAATGCAAGAATCATTATTATTATAATCCTTGCATTTAATAAAGTGCTTTATCACGCACTCCATCGAAACATCTCAAAGCGTTTCACTGTAGAAATTGACTGTAGAATGCAAAACGACTATGTATTTGTGTAGGTGAACGTGGCAGTCAATTTGGGTGGAGCAATTAGTAATAAAATAATATTTAAGAAGGATAGTGAGAATTGGCAAAGCTTTGCTTTCCCTTTTATTAAAAAAAATACTGTCTCGCTTAAAGCCCATTTTTAATAATGAACTGAAAGATCTGCCCTGCCCAGAGGAGAGACACAGCACATGGTAATGACCGGATGCAAGTGATGAGATCTCAAGACAGCTTCTTGACGAGAGATATTTATCACAATTCGCTCCTGGCTCTGACAAAATCTATTCATGCTACGCACACATTCTGAAGCATGATTTATAAGTCAATTTGCATTTCATCTAATGGCAAGTGTGACAATAGAGTGTAGAAAAATATCTACATAAAGGGTGCAGATGCCTAAGTACTAGAGCTAATGTTAGCAGAAAGGCCGGGGTCTTATTTAAAATACAATTTACATTTAAACGGTGCTTTTCACGTTGAGAGGACATCTCAAAGCGTTTTATCCAAATTTACCTGAATACACGCCTTTGTAAACTTCAGTAACAACTAGTGAAGAGGATGGTTTGATTGAGGCCAAAGACCCATCCAAAGAATCAACTGATACAGTGGACACATTATCAGGTGCCTTGCTATAAGGTGGGTTTGCTCATAAAGCTCTGTTGGTTTTAAATGCACAGCTTCAATGCAAACAGTGTGACTGCGTAGGAAGTGATGCGGTGGTAATCTAACTACCTGGAAGTTGGCATTTTTTTTTGCACGGGAAGTGATGTCGTTGGTGATCTGATGACCCGAAGTGGGTCATGTTTTAACACAGGAAGCCAGGCAGTTTTCCGCGACCATGATAAGGCTCCTTTTATGAACCCAAGCTACAGCCTTACAACAGTTCGGGATCCTTTTCGATAAGAGTATCACCAAAGGGGTTTAACATGTCAGTGTATTACCAATGAGTTTCCTTTATGACGGGATTTATCGCCATGAAATAACGTGTGGTTGCAAAGTCACCCCAACACAGACCCCCTCTCAAGGATGACAATCACACGGGAAAAGTATATCAACTATTTTCTGTGCCTGGTGTTCAATGTCATTCCAAATAACTGCAGGTGGAAAAAGGTCTCACAATCACAGGGCAAAATGGCCTCATCCTTCTCTGAAAGACCAGGAGAAAAATAACCTGGCAACACGAGAAACAGAACTCGAAAAGATACCTCGGGCAGCTTGACGCTTGTGAAACACCACCCTATGTATTTGGGGTGGGGTGGGGAGGGGGGAAGCAAAACCCATACGCTTTAAAATGCTTTCAAATCCATCAGAAAAAAAAGACTGTGGTGCGTTTCTGAAACAAGGCAGGTAACAAATAATGGGCAAGTCACAAGTTGTGGATACAATCACTAGATACTGGTTTCAAGTTATTGCTGCTGGGCAGATCTGCACTCAAATTCATGACCTAGACAGAGTTTGTCAGTGGGATCTCTTGTTGAAACAATAGGAACGCATTCATTTCCAAATCCAATCAGTCTCCCTGTTCCTCGATTTCCGCTGTTCTGTTCTGACTTGTCATTTTTTAAGGTCTAGACACTGATCGTCATTCACCAAACCTGTGGGGCTTTGAGCGTTTAACAACACTGTAAATACACATCGCCAAATAAATGTACCAGGAAACAGAAAGGAACACATTCTCACCATTCACAGTCAGGGAATGTATCGAGAACCCACACTCTATTTATTTCCTTTACTTTATGTCAAGAAAATGTCGTGTGATCGAATGGCTTTTACAGTAACGGCAACAGTTGTTTTGGAATACCAAACAATCCATTTAGACATTTATGCAGCGTCCATCGCATCAGGAAAATGTCTCATAGCGCTTAGCTCTGCTGGCTAGGCACTCGAGCTGGGCGGAAAGAGACACTAGATTGAGAGATTAAACAAAAGGATTTGTAAATAGTGAATATGACACTTGGCTCGGAAGGTAATTTTCGGATTAATATTTATCTGGACGTGAGTGAGACGAGATCTCGGTTTAACGTCTCATCTGAAGGATGGTGTTCCGACATGGCAAAGCTCTACACGGCACTGTATTGGAACAGTGGTCTGGTTAGTGAGCACTACTCCCATCCCACTGTTTAAGTGAAGCCCCCCAAAAATTTGCTGCTTGTTTTATTTTCTACTCAAACATTGAATTGCTTCATCTGGGAGACCAAATAATTTGCAACGTCAGTGCAAAACAGCTTACAAATATTACTCATTGTTCATTGTTATTTCTGTCTCTCCTAAACTCCTAGTACAAGAAGTCTGTTGCAGTGGACGTGTGTTGATGCCGCTATTGTCTGTCGTGAAGCTGCAATCTGCTCTGAACTTGGTGTCCACCTTTAACCTTTTCTATGGGAGGATGGATTAAGCGGGTAAAATCAGGGCAGCAAATGTTTCAGATACTAAAGGCTTCATACACAGGGATTTCTAAAAAGAGATCCCACTTAATCGGATGAGCCGTGATTCTGCTGAATTATGTTTCTTAAACATGTTTTTTTTTAATGTATTCCCTCTTCTTCATGTCGGGATAATTCGCTCTCTATTGACCTCCCTTGGATCACAGGCCATTTCTCAGCTGAAAGGCTGAGCAGACAAAATTTTGCTTCCAGACCTCGGCCCGTGCCGTTCTGTGCAAACCGTCCGGAAAAGCAGATGCGAAGATTGATTCTCTCCCATTCCCGGCACTTGCCTGTCTCGGTTCAGCTCCCTGCTCCCTCCCCACGCTCTCTAGCCTAACCGAGATTGGGTATTCAGCAAGAAGAGTAACATGGACATGGCCTCGCATCCAACTGCACCAACACACTGCAAAGCACGCTTGGCGTAACGCACATTAAATCTATCAGCAATCTCAAAACAGTAGGGCCGATCGCTGATTCATTTTAAAAGCACATGCAAAGTCTGTGAGGCTGGTGGATGAACGGAGCCAGGCTTTATGCAGCATGTGAAGCGGGAGGTACCTACCTATGAAATAGGCCAGCAGTATGGCCAGGATCATGGAGGCCGTGATGGCCCCCAGCGCAGCACATTTCCAGCTGCAGTATTTGGAGGGTTTCTTGAGCTTGAAAGCATTTCGGGAGAAGGTGCTTCTGGGCAAGAGCCTCGGCGGTGGGGAATAGACAGTCCCGGACGTCAAGGGATAGCCAGGAGAGGACGTGCTGAACAGAGGGGTCGTCCCGGAAGAGGTCTTAAATAGAAAGTGCCTGGAAGAACAAAAGAACAGCCTTTAGAAAAGAAAATTCACTGGGTATCTCTGTGATCCAGCATCGCCCTCCTCCTTCCCGTCCTCCCAGAGTCCTGTAGCGTGGTTGTCAGCGCGCTCGTCTCGCAAGCGAGAGGACCCGGGTTTGATTCTCGGGCTGGGAGAAAAACCTTAGGCACGGTTCGTTACTCCACACGCCTCTGTTTATCCAACGGAATTATTATTGCAGGGATTATCATTGTAATTGTCGCTATTCTTTTTAATGCATTTAGCTCTGATGGTGCCTACTTCAAGTTCTTTTCCTTGTCCGAATACTAACAGTCTCCCTTTAAGATTCCAACATTCGGAGTACAGCCCTGCTTGCGCTAACCAGGTTATCTGGAAACTGATCCTGAAACTGATAGATTTTGTTTGTTGCTTCACATGCACACAGGATGCCTGGGAATTGCAGAAGTGGTCAATATTTCCTCATATATCGACCCCAAACGAGCAGATAAAACATGAGCTCCATGTAAATGGGATCAAATAGCAATTGATTGCATTTGTTGTTAAGGTTCAAACTGGTAAAATAAGGCTACATCATTGAAAAGGGGCCGTTGAAGGTTTAACATGAAGAGGCATTGGGAAGCCTCGACATGATTGNTTTTTTCTTCGTAGCCACCATTTTCATTGCAAATTGGGGGAACATCAATTTATCGTCGTGTATCAAAAATGATTCGAATTATGTTTTTCTAGTGAAACAAGTGGAAATCCAATCACCTCTGTGAGCTCCCACTCATGAGTCTTGAAATCATCCTGCGACCCTTCCCCCTCGATTCCCTACCCGCAACCCTCACCCTCACCACCACCAACAGAACCGGGGACTGAACCAAAACTGCACACTGCATGGGATGGATGGAAAAATGCGACGTGTGGTAATTATCACATCGCAGTATTTTGTGGTCCAAAACCATCCATGATCGGTGTATGGCCGTGAGTGTAAGCCACAAAGCACCAAGCTTTGACACAGTGGTTGGAAGCTGCACGCATTGGGGTTACCCATGATAATTATCACATCACGTGTCATATTTTGCCATCTCCCCCATGTGGCCTCACCAACCTTCTACATGAGGTTAGAATAATTGCTTTGGACTTATTAACAAACATCCCTTGAGATATATCTTACCATTTAATAGCTTTACTGATAACAGCTTCATATTAACTGGATACTTTCAAGTCAATAATTACAGGGAATAAAAGAGGGGCATTGGAGAGAGGATAAGGAGGGATGGGGGTGTGAGTGGAGTACAAACCGTGGCACGCACAAGTTAGTCGGAATGGCCTTTACAATCAATGTAAAAGATGTATTTATAGGTTTTAATAAGAAATAACAACAATTTACGTTTATCTAGAGCCCTTCGTGATAGATTGAAGGGCTTGAGGGGTCGCTTCAAACCGAGCTGGGGAGGAAGGAGAGGTGACCGTAGGCATGGTCGAAGAGGAAGGTCTTCAGGTGTGATCTGAAGATGGGTAAAGAGCGGACAAGGTGGAGGGATTGAGGCAGAGAGTGACAGAGGGTCGGAGGTTGTGGCTGAAAGCACGGCCGCTGATGGTGGAGCAGAGTGGACGAGGGACACGCAGAAGGCCGGAGCCAGTCGAGGGGAGGCAGAGGGTTGTGGAGTAAGCAGGTCGGAGAGGTAGGGATAGCAAACCGAGCTGGGAATTAAAAGCTGCGATAATAATAGACAAAAAATAGGGAAATGAAAAAAATATTAAGAGACTGAACCTCTGTAGGTGAAGTTAATCATCATTATTTACCCACTGCTCATCAGAAAGCTAAAAATATCAAACCAAAAGGTGGGCGAAAAAAAAAAAAAGCCTTTGAAGCTCAGCATAAAACAATCTGGCAGCAAAGCAGAACTTAATTGCCTTTCACTCCCAATTTTCACGGCATTTCACTCTGTTTGATCTCAGTGATTTCCTGTTTAATTTGCAAAGTTCTGGAACGTGGCGCAAAACAAAACAATAAGCTTTTTTTTTTCTGGGGAACAACTGACGAGAAGAAAGAAAGAGGGAAACGAAAACATCAGAAGGAAAAGCGGTCCACGCGGTTTTGTCGAAACATGACAGCGCTTAGCACATTTATGCTGATTTGTAAAATCGCTTATACATCAAGGGACGTACTGTGCCCCGATTGCATCTGAATTGGAAGGTGACAGCTAATTTGTGCAGTGACTTTCTAATCCATTGCTCTCCACAATCAATGCTCATCAGGTCACTTACAATTGATCCCAATTTTTTTAAAATCTCTTCGTCTGGGTCACACATTCGATTAACATATTGTCCTTTCACCTACGGGATCTGAATTTGACTGCAAGTCGGGCTGATAGCTGAATCTCTCTTCTTTCTCTCTCTCCCTCTCGCTCGGTTGGCTATGAGGGTCTTGTTCATGAATCGGATCTGTTCAGTTCCTAAGGCGCGCAAGTTATTCGTTACGCGTTATTTGCCCATAAAACACACAGTCAATCCACTTAGAGAGTATATCCTGCGAAGCGCTTTGAGGCGTCTCTTCCATATAAGGCGCTAAATCAAACGCAAGAATTTTTATTATTATCATTCAACATTTCTAACAATCCTTACATTTAGTTTAGCACCTTTTCATGTCCCACAAACAGCCATAAATGAAGTAGTCAATTTTATCGGGGGGATTGTTGGCCAGGACACCGTGAGGAACACCCTTCTCTTTTTGAATAGTGCCATGGCATCTTTAACATATCGCTGAACAAGCAGACGGAACCTCAGTTTAACGCCTGATCTAAAATGAGATCTCCAAAGGGTGGCACTTCTGACAATGCAGCTCTTCCCCCCCTGTACTGCACTGGAGTGTCAGCCAAGAGCTTGAACCAAACAGCCTTCTGAGCCAGGCTGACATTTACTTTGCTAAAGGCCACTGATAAAGCGAGTGGGTTCAGGGAATTAAGGTGTGTTATTGAAGCAATGCAACACTAACCTGAGCTGGAAGTGCGCGATGTTGACACACGCTTCAAAAAACCGAACTTGCATTTGTATAGTGCCCCTCACTCAGCGTAGCGGAGCATGATGCCGAGCTGGGGCAAGGGGAGACTTGACCGTAAACACGGTCGGAAAGGTCACCAGGCGCCACCTGAAGACGGGGAACGGTAGCACAAGGCGGGGGAGATAGAGGAAGAGTGCCCCAGAGTTTTGGGGCATAGTCGCTGAAAGCGATGGTGGAACGGAGGGCACGAGGGACAAGCAGGAGGCCGGAGCCAGTCGAGCGTAGGCAATGGGTAGCGGGTGTGGGGGAAGATTCTGCTCACTGATACTGATGGCATTTATTAACACAAAATTCACGTGTCTCTGCACAATCAATGTTGCTTCTTGTGCAACACGTAGGAGTAACAGCGTGTGAACCCACAGGACGATGTGCCACCAGCACTCAGCTAAGTCGCTGATCTAACCTTCACTGTTTGCCTGAGGGCGTCAGCAGAAATATCAGAGTGAGTCATCCCTGAACTGCTCTCACTTGTTCACCGATGGCTGGTTAACAGACGGAGTTAGTTCCCTAACCCATTTCTCACTTAAGAAAACCTAGTAGACAAAATCTACTAGGCAAAATCGACGATGTACAGTCCACAATTTGGGGATATTTCTCACTGTTTTTTTCTACAGGCAGTGACCCGTAATTTCAAGTATGTTGTTCCAATTTCTTCGCTCCTTTTCCTTTCTAGTATCTCACTGATCCGGGAAGGAACTCATGTGGAGCCCAGCAAAGAAACAAAACAAAACATGAACGTGTCTAAAAAGCGAAAGGAAAAAAAAAGAGAGGCTTTCAACTGTGTATAAAAATACAGAATGAGTCACAATCTCACCATCTCCTCAGACTTTGGAAAGCAGTTGAAAACCGATGACTAAATAATTCAGAAGCACTTTCCATAACAACTGGAAATGCCTTCACTGCAATTTATGTTTCGAGATATAAAAAGCGAGGCCCAACTATCACAACGTATCATTCACATTTTGAAAGGTTCACCGATTCGGCGAGCACCATCTCTTAAGACGCATTTATTTTCTAAATGCCGTTGTGTGTTAGGACGCAGCGCATCACAACCTGTCATGAAAGTGCCCTTTGGTGACAAAAGGACTTGTTACTTGTCATCCCTGGGCTTCCTACCCCAGCGAGGGAGGGAGTAAGTCAAGGAAGGTCCGTGGGGGATGGGAAGGGACGCAGGCCAGTTGGCTACCCAAGTGTAATCTCTAGAAGCCACGTACTAATCTAGGTGAGCAGGATTGAATGGGTTTCTCTATTACCCATTGTGCAGGCTCCACCACATTACTGTGGTTCAGAGGATATTTAGAATTCCCCCTTTGTGCTTTTGGCCTTTTTTGTTCCTCAGCACGCCTGCGTTTCACAGCAGATTGGTGAAACGCACTCGAGCACACTCAGTCGCATACGCAACACCCACTCGCGCACACAAACACACACACACACACAAACAAGAATTATGCAGTCAACTCACTTTACACTCTATTCTGGGAAGCGCTTTGAGACGTCTTGAAAGACGTGATAAGGCGCTATATCAAATGCAAGGATTATTATTATTATTATTAAGTGCGTGCTCGCACTCGTATGCGCACACTGCACTTTTCCAGAAATATTAATAATTTTTTTGTACATTACTCACTGGCGCGATGCAAATTCCCCCCTGTGTTGGCATGCGCTCAGACTTTCTGCTCACATAATGCTTTGAAACATGATAAAAAGCAGTCATTGGAAAAAAAAAGAGGGGGAAGAGGTGAGAGGTGATGTTTGTAATCTGCCAAGAATAACCTGCTGCGTTTTATAATTTACGCACCGTGCACGCAACACACAACAACCATCAGCCAGGATCAGCCTTTGAACTCCTCTCTCTTGCCAATTTGCATCTGCTTCAGAGCAATTTGTTATCAATCGAATTGCTAATAGTAATCTACCGCTAACAATCTGCCAGATGCAGCGTTTTG